TGTGTGTGTGTGTGCGTGTGTGTGTGTGTCTGTGTGGTGTGTCTGTGTATCTGTGTGTCTTGTGTGTCTGTCTCTGTGTGCACGCATGTGTGTGTACGTGTGTGTGTGTGTTTGCATTTGTTTGTGCAAGTGTGTGTATGTGTTCATCCATGCAACTGCATGTGTTGTTTCTTGAATAGAACAGGTATTCTAGGCCTCCGTCGCACCACCTCCAACATTTTACATCCGACTGTATTGTCCTAACTGCTGCTTTTGCACCTTGCCCTTCCTCTCCATCCAATCCATACAACTCTGGATTACAAAACCATCCCCCCCCCTTCCCCCTCCCATGTCTGCTGCAGTGGGTGGCTCACTGTGGACTTTTCCTGCAAGGTACCACCGTACAACCGAGGACGGGGAGAGAACGAGGGTGGTGAAGATTATAATCAATAAGGTCGGGTACAAGGTTTCAAATTCTAGGCTAATTATGGTAGTGCATATTGTCTTGCATTTTACGGTATTGTCGATTTCCAAACAATCTATCGCTTATGGTACCGGTATGTTTTGTTGGCAATAAACATAATTTGTTTCTGGAAATGAAGTTGCCGAGGGGTTTTTATTGTAATATGTATGGTATGTCAACTGTGTGAATGTTTAGTTGCCCTTTGTAATATGGGTGCTGTAGTTATGAATATTACTGTTTTGCCCTCCAGAATCTAGCTTCTAAACTTGCTACTGCTGTTGCTATGCATTCATTGGAAAATTGCACTTACAAGCTAGACAGAGCCAGCTAAACCCAAAAGTCGCATTTCAAGAAGCCCAAAACTCTTTACAACACAGCCTTCAGCCTAAGGCAAAGGACGTGCATGTGTCTTATCAACCCAACAAGACACATTGAGAATGCACCTATTCCAGCAAGGGGCACTTTCAAAATGACAGCCATCCCAGTGCTCCCTAAACAGCCCGTCCACGCGAGAACAGGATACCAGGGAAGAGGAACTGGGGGAATTGCAGAGAGGAGATGCGGAGGGTGACATGTGCGTGCGCCCTTCATCTACCAAGGCGGCAGCTACTGCTGGGAGGCTGGTTGTTCAGGGAAGGAGAGGCGCTTCATGTGCTTCTCATGGGGGTACTTGAGCTGGGTGGCGAGCCCCGCGGCCTCGAGCAGCTTGATGGTGTACCACGTCATGTCCACCTGGTGATCCTCCAGTCCGTGCCGGCATGAATACTGGAAGGCATGGTGGTTGTTGTGCCATCCCTCACCAAACGCCAGCAGCCCCACCCACCTGGCACAGTGGCAATAGGGGGGACAGGATGGAAGGAAGAGTGAGCCACCAGGACGTAGAGGGGAGAGAGCAATGTGACGTTTCCATGAAAACTGGCTCTTTTGCTAACTACTGCCAGGAGGATGTGCCATCCAAGCTGGGTAACGCAACTCCCTCTGAGCCCTGCTGAATCTTAACCCCCCAGACTCGGCATCTCTCATCCTCGCCCAGATCCGACTAAAACTACTAAAGGCTAATAACAGGTGAAGTGCTCAACGCGCGAGCACACTCTGCTGCTCATGCTCTTGCATCTGCCACAGAGACACTTGACACAGTCTTGACCCACTGAGCGACTGAGCTGAAGCGGTACATAGGCCTCAGCTCACTTAGCCTCCCCAACAAGCCCTTGATACGAATCTCCACAGGCCATATTGAATGTGGGTTGGGGGGAGGGAGTTGTCGAAAGAGACATTGCAAGGCCTACCAGTTGTTTCGCGAAAGGTCGCCGGTGTTCCAGGATTGGTAGCCCCACACGTGCGATGCTGAGTTGACGAACCATGTGATGTGGTACACCCACACGGCGCGCACGCCCTGAGAGAGACAGACATGGACAATAAAAGAAGAATAATACAGCCGTTATAACAACGAAATTTCGACCATTACTTGTCTTCAAAAGACCTGAAAAAGGACTGAAGAGCACCCACTGAAGAGATGATGAATCAAAGCGACAAAAAATCGAAGGACAAGCCCAGCGGGCACAAGATTAGATGGAGCACGTACGAAGCCCCAGACGACCCAGGGGAAGCCTCCGAGGGCGTAGAGCAGCAGCACGGACGCGACGATGTGCCACACGTAGGTGGCCTCGATAAAGTTGTAGAAGGGATCGTTCTCCATATCCGCGATATTGTTGCGCACACCCACCTGGAATTTCACGTGGTACAGTACGGTAGAGTGCAGGAAAAAAAAGTTTCTTTTTAGTTTGGTGGACAACACACGGTAAGGAGTCGTTCCTCACTCTTAAATCGTGCTACATTTGACGTCCATTTTCCGTTGCAGGTTCAACTGCTTCCAAGTTTATGGTGCGACGTTACGCAAAGGTGAGCTACACGACAGGGCACACTCGAGAATAATCTTACCCGTTCTTGCGTGGCGACGTCGTCGAGCAGCCATCCCATGTGGCTGTGCCAGAAGCCTTGTGAGTCGCTTCAACAATCATTGAGGGAGGGCCTTACCCGCTCTTGCGTGGCGACGTCGTCGAGCAGCCATCCCATGTGGCTGTGCCAGAAGCCCTCGTACGGCGTGTGCGGGTCGGCGGGAGTGTCGCAGAAGCGATGGTGGTAACGGTGAGCGCTCACCCACTCCTTGGGGTCGCCCTGCGGGAAGCAACGCGAGACACAAACAGGATGGCGTTCGGACGCAGGACGAGGGAGGGTAAGGAAGAGAATATGTGTGGAAATTCTAGGTTTTCCACATGAGCGTCACAGGAGAATTGAATAAGACTAACGCGACCACGACTGAGTGAAAAGGACGAACAACGCGCGAAGGCAAAGATCAGTGAGCAAATAGTGAGCAGCGACGTCGTACCTGAACAGCTTGAATTCCGCAGTAAGCGAAGGTGTACTCGAGCCACTTAGGAAGCGTGAAAGATCGATGTGACAAATTGCGGTGGTATGACAGGGTGATCCCAAACATTCCTGGATAATAATACACAAAATGTAAGGAACGTCAGCCTCAACGCTAGATAACAATCGCTAAGTCACGGTTGCGGAGATATAAAAAAGCGAAGAGAAAAAAGACTGCAAGCGAAGAAACAACGCACCTGTGATCACGTAAAGGCCGACGAAGAGGCCAACGTTTTGCCAGGAGAAGGTGGCTGGTGCAAAGAGGCACAAGCCATGGACGAAGATCATGTACACAGCGTAGCTGATGTCCTTGGACGTGTACTCCCGGTTGAAGAAGTATGGCCGCTTCCGTTGCGCGATAACGTCCGAGAACCACACTTGCGCGGATTCAAACGGCGACGGCTCTGCCGCGGATTGCTTCGGAGGAGCCTCCACGGCGCACGAGATTTGTCGTCTTTGTGACTGCAGGCCGACGATCGGAGCCGCAGTGGGTTTGAAGGATCGGATGAATGGAGTGGATAGGATCGGCAATCTGGGTGAGGCTCGCAGTTTAGACGACGCGAGGGGTGCGAGGGCTCTGGCTCCGGCAGCAGCGCGAGCGGGAATTCTCTGGATCTCCGAGCCTCGGGTTAGGAAGGTCCCTGACGGGAGGACGGCCGCCGAAGTGGTCGCCATGGTTCTGCCTTCTGTGTGGCTAATCGGGGAAGAACGGCCCGAATCCCGGAGGGCTTTCTGCACAACTGTGGTTTTAGAAAGTCCTGGGAACACAGATCCACACAGGAAGCTAGAATGATCAGCCGCGAACTGAGCTCAGAAAGAGCTGATCGTTCGAAATACCTGTTAGCAGGACCAAGGAGGAGGTAATGTATGAGGAGGGGGGGTGGCTTGCTTGCGTTGCTCGTTCCCGTTTGCGGAGTTTCCAAGGGAGCTCAGCTCGGCAGCTTTAGTGCTGTTGCGTGGGGTTGACGGAGGCTTGGCTGAGGCGGATTTGCGTGCCTCGGGGAGCTCCCCCCAACCTTGGGGATTCCTTCCGAACTTGCGGACGAAACACGAGGATGCCCCGCAATCGCATCAGCGACATCTGGCCGTTCACTGTGCTGACGAAAACCGTCGATCACAGCGCAACTTTGCTGGCTCAGCGCGGACCGATGACGTTGTTATGTGGTTGGTTTGTGGTGGCTGTAAAACTGGTGGTCCAAATCCGTCAGGTTTGACGTGGTTTGCGACACTGAGGGCTTGCTGGATTCACCAGTCAGAATGGAGGTCATGTGGCAAACCGCGATTCGGCGGTGCGAGCAGACTCTGCCTTGCTGGACAAAAAGGGCCTAGCGAGAAAGATAGGTAGGGAGTGTACCTCTCCCACCACCACTATGAATCTGAGATATTTCATGTAAATCCGTGGCGAAAGACTGTCTGATTTGTGAGGCTTGGATTAGGTCGATTTTCTCAGCCCAATAATAGCTTCGCTTTCAGCGTGAATCGGTCTCCCCAAATCAACATGAAGCCCCACTGTGCGGAGAAACGTACAGCAACACAACTCCCTGCCGCGTCGCCTTCTCTACGATTGGCCCATTGATCATCTGAAAACCAAGATCATCCGCTTTTGAATGCATCACTGTATTCGTTTTACGCTTACACGTAAAGAGTCTACTGTTCATCCATTACTGGCAAAGAAGTCTATTTGCCTGTACTAAAGAGAACCCTTCAAAAGCGGATGCTGGTTTGGAAGTGTCGAGGCTCGGCTCGGCTCGGCTCCCTTGGTCCCCAAACCCAACACTAACTCCAACCAGCACTGCAGTTACCGAGCATCCATCCAAGCCCAGCGACTGACCGAACCAAGCGAGCAGGCTCACCTCACATCCTCGAGTTTACCATCCACAGAAGTGCTCTTCAGTTCACTCACCAAACACAGCAGGCTCTTTCACAAGAAACGCCATGGCGGTTCGCTTACTCCGCCTCTCTTGACTCAGAAACGGCCGATGTCAGGCGTGGGGAAGTCGAGAGTAACGCTTTCGTCTTTCTTGGCCGGCAAATTTTCCATTAGGGCTTAATTCGTTGAGTACACTGGTAATCCAGAGGAGCTCACATTTTTGCCTTTAGAGGGGATTTCCGAAGCTTCTCCGCGAATCACGCCATGCCTGCACCGCTTGTGGCTCGGAAGGGTGCTCAGCACGGGTCAGGAAAACCCGGCGGGCGAGGTTCGGAGAAACACCGAGGCGACGTGACCCCGTCAGCGTCGGCGCAAGGCTCGGGGTTTAAGAAGAAAGCTGGAAGTTTGGAGCAGCCGCATTCAGGCAAGCACCTCCCAGCCAATGGTAGGAAGCCATCTGGACACGAAGCCAAGGCTGGAAGCTCATCAGCACCTCCGAACGGTTACATCCGAGACACCGACTCGCTCGAAAAGGCCGTCCCTAGTCACAGCCACCGTTACAGTCACGACGGCGTGAGCGATGCTGGTCAGACTCGCGTGAGGTCCGGCATCGACGCGCTGTACGCGGGAGGCGAGGGCCTCCCCCGGCGCATCAACTTCCTCCCCGCGCGCCACGCCGACGCGCACTCCGCGCTCCCCGTGGACCTCAAGCCGCTGAATGCGGCCGATCCGAGCCGCGAGCCACGTGGCAGGCAGCCAGTGGTCGGATCGGAGGGCGGTGACCGGGTTGAGGGGAAGAAGGGGAGGAGGAAGGAAGAGAAGGAGCGGCGCGAGTCGAGTGAGAAAGAGCGGGATGGACTGGAGGGGCGGCTGGATCGGTCAGACGTGGCGCTGGAATGGCGGCAAATACGGCCCATTGTAAGCTCTAGGCATCCTAGGACATGCGTGACAATGCAGCCCGCATGTGTCGCTGTACGCGTTATACGCTGCGGCTCCGTGAAGCCAATTGCCCCAGGTCGCACAGCAAGCACGCATTTCGTGCAAGATTGGACGATAGATACCCATGCAATCCTGTCCCCACCACCCGCGAAACCCTAATCCCGCCAAGCACATCCGTCACGCACACGCGCTGCAGCCCAGGATGCAGCTATCAGATGGTTTTTGAGAAAGGAAAAAAATAATTTCCAGCGGTGGGCGGACGACTGTGTGTGTGTGTGCGTGTGTGGTGTGTGGTGGGTGGCAGGGAGCGGGGCTGAGCAACCTGGGCAACACGTGTTTCATGAACTCCGTCCTGCAGTGCCTCACGTACACGCCGCCCCTCGCCAACTACCTCTCGCAGTCGCCCCACTCCGCCACCTGTGAGTGCTCCCCGTATGCTGCCCTTTCCCCTGCTCGCCGTACAGTTGCTTGCTCTGCAAGCCGTTGCATGTACACTGCGCTGAGCACACTGTGCTCCATACCAACAATCTTGACTGTCAACCGCTGCGGCCAGACAGTCGGTTCTAACAGACAGTTGCAACCTTTTGTCTGGATCGTGCGCGGCAGGCAGGGTGGCGGGGTGGTGTGCGCTGTGTGAGATGGAGACGCATGTGCCGAGGGCGGTGGGGGCCACGGGCAAGGTGGTGTCACCCACCGGCTTCGTGCGCAACGTCAAAAGTACGACCTGCCCTGCCCCACCTCCCCATCCCCCCTTCCCCCCCCCTTGCCTCGCTCTCTTTTCCTCTCCATCGCTCGCATTTACCCACACACCCGCACACACACCCGCACACACACCCGCACACACACCCGCACACACACCCGAGTCTCCGTTCTCCCCTCACCTCATCTTCTCCACCTCATCCCGCTTCTCCTCCCCCCCATCTCTCTCATCTCCCTCCTCATCTCTCATCCACCCCTCACCCCTCCGTATCACCCCTCCCATCCACACAGGTGTGGCGCGGTCGTTCAAAGCAGGGAGGCAGGAGGACGCACACGAGTACATGCGCTGCCTGCTAGACGCCCTCCACCGATGCTGCCTCCCGCCCAAACGAGCCTCCGCCTCAGGCTCGGGCGCTGACCCTGCCTTTGCGCCGAGGCTGATGAACACGTTCGTGCACCGGACGTTCGGGGGGTATCTGTGCAGCCAGGTGCAGTGCACTGTGTGCGGGTACTGCTCCCGAACCTACGACCCGTTCCTGGACCTCAGCCTTGAGATTGTCCGAGCCGACTCGGTGACCAAGGCTCTGCATCGGTTCACATCGGAAGAGGCTTTGGATGGGGCGAACAAGTACAAGTGCAGGTGAGAGCGGCGAAGCACTAGTGTAGGTGAGGGGGCTGAGTTTGAAATACTTCCTCTTATCGTGCTCACCTCTTTTCCCTTTCCTCCCATCCCATGCCTCCCCGACTCCCTCTCCCGTCGCAACCCCCCCATGCGCACAGCAAGTGCAGGAAGAAGGTGCGTGTGCTCAAGAGCTTTTCAGGGGAGGAGGCACCCCCCCTGCTGACGGTGCACCTGAAATGACTAACACCCTCATTCCTTACCCCTGCCCCCGTCCCAACCTCCTCATATGAGCAGCAAGTGCAGGAAGAAGGTGCGTGCACTCAAGAGCTTCGCAGTGGAGGAGGCACCCCCCGTGCTGACAGTGCACCTGAAGCGCTTTGCTGCTCTCACAGGGCGCAAGCTGGACAAGCACGTGGCGTTCCCGCCCTCCCTCGACCTCTCGCCCTTCATGACCTCCTCCCGCTCCTCCTCCTCTCCCTCCTCTGCCGATGCTGCTGGTGCGAGTGCGAGCGGTGGTGCCGGTAGCAGCAGCAGAGGCAGCAGCGGCAGTGGCGGCAGCAGCAGGGGGGGTGGGGGTGAGGGTAAGGGGGGCAAGTACAGTCTGTACGGGGTGTTGGTGCATGCGGGGTGGTCCACCAACTCGGGGCACTACTACTGCTACGTGCGAGGGCCGTCGGGGACATGGAGTGCCATGGATGATGCGAGGGTGCAGCAGGTGAGCGAGAAGACCGTGCTGCAGCAACGTGCTTATCTCCTCTTCTACGTCCGCGAAGCCCCGCCCCCTGCTGCTGCTGCTGCTCCTGCTCCCGCTGCTGCTCGTCCTGCTCCTGTTCCCTCACCTGCTGCTGCTGCTGCTGCTGCTTCTGCTGGTGCTCCTGCTGTTTCACCTTCTCAAACCTCTGCTGCTACGACGCCGGCTGCAGCGGCTGGTGGTGAAGCGGATCTGAAAAGGAAGGGCAAGGCAGCAGCACCGCATGTAGAGGCGTTCATGCACGTGCAGGCACAGGGTGAGGCGCAGGAAAAGGAACAAGCACAGGCACAAGGAGTATCGCAGGAGCGGTTGCAGGAAAGTGCAGGCAGAAAAGCGGGCAAGGACAGGGCGGGAGCAGCACAGGGCGAGGGTACAGAAGTGGGCAGCAGCGTTGCACGTGAGGCCAAGGCGAGGGCAGGTGTGAAGGGTGAAGGAAGGGAGGTAGTGATGATGGATGTGAATGGAGGGCAAGGGGCGGAGGAGGCGTTGGTAGAGGGGGAGAAGTGGGGCGAGAGAGCGGGGCAGGCTGTGCTGGCAGAGGCTTCAAGTGACGAGGAGAGCAGTGAGGAAGGGGAGGAGCAAGGGGAGGAGGACGGGGAGGTGGGGGCGGATGGTCAGGCAGCTGGTAGTGATAGCGATGATGAGAGTGACGACCCCGATTGGACGTTGGGTGCTGAGGGCGGAGAAGATGCGGACAACGATGCTGAGGGCAGTGCGCGGCATGTTAGGGGGTCGTCGTGGGCGGCAGCAGTGGGGCAGATGTTACGACTGCTACCCGGTTCCACCCGGGAGTCGAGAGGAAGCCTGAGGAGCCGAAGCAGCCCTGGCAGGTCGGGAGGAGGGAGTTTCGGCAGCAGCGGGTGGGGCAGGAGCAGCGGCAGCGTGGGCAGTGTTGTGGGCAGCAGCAGGGAGAGGATGCTAAGGCTCATGTCTCCCCTCGTGCCGCTGCCTTTTTTGGGGGGAAGGGGAGAGGCGGGGCGTGTGATCAGGGAGAGGGGACGGCGGAAAGAGGAGGTTTTTCCGTTGGGAGGGGTCCGGGGGCGGAAGAGGAGGAGAGGGAGTATGGAGGGGTGGGGCCGTGGTGTGGGCTGGGAGGGGAGTGGAGGGATGCGGGTGGGAGTGGAAGAGGAGGGAGGAGGGGTGAGGAAGGAAGGGGAGAGAGGAGGGATGGGAGTGGAGGAGGAGAACGGGGAGAGTGGAAGAAGGGTGGGCAAGGGAGAAGAGGCGAGGGTGGTGGAGAGAGGAGAGGGGAAGGAGGAGGTGAGGAGAAAGCGGCAAGAGGGGGATGCGCTACAAGTGATGGACGGGATAGGAATGGAGGAGGGCGAGGTGGATTCAGAGGAGGAGGAGGAGGAAGGGGAGGCGATGATGTTGGCAGGGCCGGGGATAGCGGTCCATCGAGTGGGGTCGTCAGACGATGACTCGGAGGGGTGGAGCAGTGGGAGCGAGAGCGATGGGGAAGACGAGGGGGAGAAAGGAGGAGAAAAGGACGAGGGAGAACAGGAGGAGGAGAGCGAGGGAGGAAAGGGTGAACCGGGGAACGGGCAGGGGAATGGTGGCGGCAGCGGGAGCAGGGTGGTGACGTATGGGGGGTCGGACGCGGTGTGGATGATGAGGGAGGGCGCACAGGAGGCGACTGTGGGGGCAGGCGCGCTAACGGGCTCCCAGTGGGGCGACGATGGTGAGTTGCAGTGGGGGAGAGCGTTATCCTGTGATGTCATGCTGTGCAGCTGGGTGTGTTCATGGGAAGACTAGGACTGTCACAAGGGGCCCTGCATGTGAGGGCAATAAGATGGTGACACGTGGCATGGTGGGTGTTGTTGGCAAGGCGATGGTGTGGGGTCAGGGAGGTTGGCTTGAGCGGCAGGAGGGGGAAGGGAGGTTAGCGTCTTGGTCTGTGGCAGGTGAAGGTGATGACGCCAGGCTTAGGTGCCCCTTGGTCTGTGGAGTGTGTACAGCAGCTGGCTCTCCCGCGCTCGTTGTGAAGCCTCTTCTTCCCTCGTATGTGCCATGCCCCTTTTTCCTTTTCCTGCCCTATCTGATCTCCTGTGTGTGGATGCAGAAGGCATGGCGGTGAACGGCGCCCACCATCTGTCCGAGAGGCGACCGGCCAGCAAGTACAGATACGATGAGTGGTGAGTGCACCACTTCCCATCCAGTGGTCCCTCTGTTCCACCATATCGCCATCCCATATCACCATCCCAGCATCAAGGGCACCGCTCCCCCCTCACTTGCTTCTTCTCCCATTTCCACCCCTTCTCCCTCTCCCCCCTTCTACCCCTCCCTCCACCTGTCCCTTCCTTTTCTTACACTCTTCCTCATCCGGTTCCCCCTCCCCATCCCCCTTACCCCCTCTCCACCTCTCCCCACTCCTCCCCACCCGACTGTGCATGGGGCAGGGACGAGGAGCTGGACAGGGGGCGCGTGAAGAAGGTGAAGCGCAGAGCAGATGGTGACGCACCCGACCCCATGGCAGCCCCCAACCCCTTCCAGGCCCTTGCTGCTGCGCCTGCTGGTGGTGGTGGTGGTGGTGGTGGTGGTGGGGGTGGTGGTGGTGGAGGTGGGGAGGGAGTGAGGGAGGCGCATGGGAAGAGGCCGGGGAGGTGGATGGGGAGGGACAAGGGCAAGCATGACAGCAACCGGCATGTGGCAAAGCTCAAGGGAAAGAAGGCCGGGCCTAGATGGTAGCTTCAGATCAATTGTTTGATATGTTTGACGGCTTACAGTCAAAGGCGGATATGACGGTTTATTGCTGGGTAAAGCTGGCGTTATGGCGTACATCGGTTGAGTGTGCATGAGCCTTTCAATTCTTTATGGGGATTTGGCCCAATAATTTTGCTCTGGTCCATTGGTATACGAAGAAATAATTATCCTATGTTTGTGCACATAATTTCTTATCGCGTCAGTCAAAGTGCTAGTTGCTTCAGAAGCCTCTCCTCGTTTCCTGGCCACGTGGCTTATCGTGCACCACATCCGAACGCCACGTGACAACCCAATCCATTGCGTGACTGGTCGTTCCAAGCCCAATTAGAACACATCGAGGGTCTGGTCGGGTCGATTTTGGGTGGTGGCGATCTGGAGCACCCATTCACAGTTCACGAAACATCACGCGGCGATTGGCCAAACCCCATCCACCTGAAACAGCCTGACCGAAATATCTCGTCACAACCCAGTCCCAACTACAGTGTAATCAGAGAGTTGTCCCAACTTCCCGCAACTATCTCCTGCGGAACGGATTGCCGACTTTACGCGCCGGGTCCTAATCATTTCCAGTAACTGCTACCGGCGCGATGCGATCCGTTCGTGAACACTGTGCGAGCTCTTGGGTGGATGCTCCACCGCATGCTTCGACGAGACGGCTCCGACGAGTCGATTGCGTGAAATGCCCACAACAAGCGCCAGACGACCTCACCTCAGTCACTGGGTCAGCAACATTTTGGCGACGGTCGAACTCAACTTGATGGCATGGCTGATGCCAGGCTGGCGTGTCCAGCGCGACATTCATTTGATCCGATCCGACGGATGGGCGACACTCATTACCTACCGCGCTCCGCACCACTACCAGTGGTGGTGATAGAGGCCTTGCCTTGCCAGTCGACAGAGGCGTGTTTTTTGAGTCGACTCAAAACACTGTTGGTGACAGAGGCTGCCAGTCGACAGAAATAAACCCTCTAAGGGAGAGGCATGCCATCCGGGGGAGGCATCAACCCTAAACAGGATTTGCTGGGGACCAAAAAAGGTGGGGACCAATCCAAGCTGGTCTGGGAAATACCAGGGGTCACGCGTTCAGTCCCCGACAGTGTATTCGTTGGTAACAGGGCCTGATTCTTCGCCACTTCGCAGACTTGAAAGTCGCGCGCGCACCAAAAGCTTCGATAAGGATAGCACTGCTCCTGCTGCTGCTGCGACATCCGCTGGGGCGACTGCGATGCTCCAGCAGGACGTGTTGTTTGAGACGTCTCAAAAGGTTCTCCAGCAGGATTTGCTGCTGCAGCAGCAGGAGGGGCGGGCGTGCGGGCTGGGCATCGTGCCGTTCCTGGAGGGAAAGCACGTGCTCATCACGGGCGCCACGGGCTTCATTGGGAAAGGTGCGGCTTTTTGTGGTAACGGTGTGGTCACGGGCTTCATTGGGCTTCATTGGGCTTCATTGGGCTTCATTGGGCTTCATTGGGCTTCATTGGGCTTCATTGGGCTTCATTGGGGTTCATTGGGCTTCATTGGGCTTCATTGGGCTTCATTGGGCTTCATTGGGCTTCATTGGGCTTCATTGGGCTTCATTGGGCTTCATTGGGCTTCATTGGGCTTCATTGGGCTTCATTGGGCTTCATTGGGCTTCATTGGGCTTCATTGGGCTTCATTGGGCTTCATTGGGCTTCATTGGGCTTCATTGGGCTTCATTGGGCTTCATTGGGCTTCATTGGGCTTCATTGGGCTTCATTGGGCTTCATTGGGCTTCATTGGGCTTCATTGGGCTTCATTGGGCTTCATTGGGCTTCATTGGGCTTCATTGGGCTTCATTGGGCTTCATTGGGCTTCATTGGGCTTCATTGGGCTTCATTGGGCTTCATTGGGCTTCATTGGGCTTCATTGGGCTTCATTGGGCTTCATTGGGCTTCATTGGGCTTCATTGGGGTGCGGTCTTGTGGTAGGTGTCGACACGAAACTCCCTCTCGGTCCCATGGAACCGCTTTCCCCCCTACTCTCCCCACGTCTTCCATTCCCCCCGACAGTGTTGGTGGGTATTTTTTAGAATTCTCTAAAATACCTCCTTTCTCTTTTCCCCCCTTCTCTTCCCGGCACGTCTTCCCTTCCCCCCCTGCCAGTTTTGGTGGAGAAGATACTGCGCGAGCAGCCGGGGGTGGGGCAGCTGTATCTGCTCATCCAACCCACGCCCCGCGCCACTGCAGCGCAGCGCCTCAAGCAACAGGTGCGCTGCGTGCCGTGCTCTCGGGCTGGTTGCAGCTACCGCCTTGCTGTTCCCGCCACCCATTTTCTCACGCACTTATGATGCGCATTCCACCAGGCACGCGCGCACGTGCACCCTCCTTCCTCGCCACACATCTCGCTGCTCCCCCCTCCCCCGCGCCCCCACATATACAGCCCATTCCCTCGCCCTGTTTCCCGCATCTGAGGCGGCAGCACACAACATATCCCTCCCTCTCCGCCTGCATCCCCTCTCCGCCTGCATCCCCTCTCCCCAGGTCGTCCCGTCGCCCGTGTTCTCGCTGCTGCGGGAGCGGCATGGGGAGGGCTACGAGGCGTTCATGGCAGCCAAGCTCACGGCCGTGCACGGCAACGTGGGGGAGGACGGACTCGGGCTGGCTGCCCACGCCGCTGCTGCTCTGCAGGAGTCTGTGGATCTGATCTTCAACTTCGCTGCGACTGTTGACTTTGAAGCCGGGTATGACTTTTCGAGTCGACTCAACAGTCACCTCGGTGGAGCTGGTCTCTAACTTTGAAGCCCCGTATGTGCATCTGCATCTGCATCTGGGTTGCTAGCCTTCGCCAAGAAGTGCACGCAGCTGGAGCTGCTGGTGCATGTGTCCACTGGTGAGCCGCGTTTTGCATTTGCATCTCCGGCTCACATGTGCCTGAATCAGTCTGAATCATTTGGTCTCATACAGTGTCGCTGTGTGTGTGTGTGACTGCCTGGTTTGTAACACTGGTACTGCAACATTGTTGCACACCGCCATGCCATCTGTACCGCCCGCCCACTCTCTCCTCTCCCTCTCGCCCTCCTCCTTTCCCCCGCAGCCTATGTGAACGGGCAGCGCGAGGGAACGTGCATGGAAAGGCCCTTTTCTCCGGGCGATAGCATTGCTGCTGAGATGCTGGGCGGCTCTTCCACCCCCTCTGCCCCCACTGCTGCTGCTGCTGCTGCCGCCACCACTGCTGTTGCTGCTGCTGCTGTTTTCGCTGCTGCCACCAATGCTGCTGCTGCTGTTGCTGCTGCTGACCCCACTGCTGCTGCTGCTGCTGCTGCTGCTGCTGCTGCTGCTGCTGCTGCTGCTGCTGCTGCTGCTGCTGCTGCTGCTGCTGCTGTTGCTGCTGCTGACCCCACTGCTGCTGCTGCTGCTGCTGCTGCTGCTGCTGCTGCTGTTGCTGCTGCTGCCCCCACTGCTGCTGCTGCTGCTGCTGCTGCTGCTGTTGCTGCTGCTGCCCCCACTGCTGCTGCTGCTGCTGCCACCACTGTTGCTGCTGCTGCTGCGGCTGCGGCTGCCACCACTGCCGCTGCTGCTGCTACTTCCCCTGCTGCGGCCTCCAAAGTCCCTGTGCTTGACCTGGATGGGGAGGTCGCACTAGCGTTGAGGGAGCGAGCGGCGGTGGAGGCAGATGCAGAGGCGAGAGGGGCGAGTGTGGAGGAAGTGGCAGCGGCGGTGGAGGCGCACATGTCCGCCCTGGGTGCCGACAGGTGGGTGTGTGGGCTGGTTGCTTGCCATGCCATGTCATGTGCATGGTACTGTCTGCTGCTGCTGCTCGTGCTGCTGGTGCTGCTGTTGCAGCTGCTGGTTCTGCTGCTGCTGCTGTTAAATGCATGTTCTCGGTTGAGCATGTGGGGTGGTCGATGGATGGTGCAGTGATTTATGCTAGTTCCATTGGCGTTTCGGAGCACCACACAGCAGCAGCATGGGGACACTTGTTGGCTGGAGAGGTGTAGGAGGGTGGCGGAGGGAAGAGTTGGGTGCGCCTGGTCCTTGCACCCTTTCACATCCCTTTCAATCTCGTCCCTGTTCCATGCCGTGCTGCCCCGTCTCTCTTCTCACCTTCCTGCTCTTGCTTGCACCTCTTCTCCCTTCTTCGCCCTTGCATCCCTTCCTCCTCTGCTCCCTGCTCCCACTACGTTAGGGCGCGTACCTTTGGGTGGCAGGACGCGTACGCGCTGTGCAAGGCAATGGGGGAGATGGCGCTGGTGGAGCAGCAGGAGGGGGCGCAAGGGGAGGGGGAGGCGGGGGGCCCGGCTGGGGGAGGAGCGCGTGTGCCGGTGGTGGTGGTGCGGCCAGCATAGTGGAGAGTGCACTGCACGAGCCCATGCCTGGATGGATCGAAGGCTTTCGGTGAGTGAGGGTGCCATGCCACGAGCCCATGCCACAAGCCCATGCCACCACATTGTGTGCCAGCAAGTCCTCATTTCGGCTGCTCGCTTCATTCCTCACTCCGTCAGCTCGCTTGCGCCAGGCACTTCTTTGTACCTTTCCCCCTCACACTCGTCCTTTCCTCCTCACACTCGTCCTTTCCCTCTCACACTCGTCCTTTCCCCCTCACACTCGTCCTTTCCTCCTCACACTCGTCCTTTCCTTGACACCGACCCTTCTCACTTGTCCCTTTCGTGTTGGTGCTGTGCAAGCACCAGTGTGCCAGATGCCATTCTCTCTCCCAGCAGGCGGCAAGATTTTCAATTGACTCACCCTTGTCTTGTCCCTTCCTTTGCGCCTCCCGGTCTCACGCTCGTATCACACTGCTCGCAATCGTTCCACAATGCCAGGGTGGCGGATCCCGTGCTGATGGCGTTTGCCAAGGGGGACATACCTGGCTTCCACGCTCCGCCAGACGGCATCTGTGACATTGTGAGTCACACCACCGCCTCGCCTCGCCTCGCCTCGCCTCGCCTCCTCCCCTCCACCGCCTCCCTCCTCCCTCCCCATGCCTTATTGCATTCTTTTCTTAACATATCTTGTTGCCAGTTCTTACCTTTCCTCTTTTTATCCCCTCTTTCTTCTCCTTCCCTCCCCCCTCACCCTCAACACCTTCCCCCGTGCCCCTCCTCCTGGCCCCCACTTTCGGATCCGTTGCATTGTTTGCTCGTCTTGTTCTCTATTTTCTGTCTGATGTGCCCCTGAACCACATGCCACATGTGTGGCAGCAGCAAGCAAACCCTCTCTACTGCTACTTTCTGTTTGTCCCGACCCGACTGTCCCCCACATTCAGATCCCAGTGGACCTACTAGCCAATGCTATCATTGCCATTGCTGCCAGCAACGCAAAGCCGCCACAGAGAGACATTCGATCCACTCCCAAGCACCATCTGCCGCGTGTGTACCATGTGACGTCGTCGGTTACTAACCCGCTGTGTTTCAGCGGACTTTTTGCGGCCACCACCAAGCATTTTGCTGCCAATCCCATGAAGCGGAAGGATGGGACTGCAATCTCTGTGTCCCATATGATAGCCTTTCCATGGCCCATGCTCTTCATGGTGGCTATTTGGTTTCAGTATGAACTTCCCAGGCTTGTAAGTCACGTCTCCTCCTGCCCAGCCTTGTTCTTGCAAGTATTTGGCCCGTTTTTTCCCTCCCCACCTCACTCGATCTTCTTACCTTGGCGCAATTGGTCTTGCAGTTGGTGACACTTGACCCTAGGAATGGACCAGCACAGAAGCAGCAACTTGCTGCAAGACTGACCAAGAGGCACAATCAATACAGGCGCTTAGCTAAGTTGTACATGCCTTACTGCTTCGGCAAGGCACTGTAAGTTACCAACCTTGCTACAGCACAATCAACCCCCGCATGCACAATCACAGCATTTCCCACCTAGTGTGTTGCGTTTTCTTAAGTCTGTGTTTCGCTCGCCCAACTGTTACCTGTTACCTGTTGCCTGTTGCCTATTTGCCTCTGCATGCAGGTTTGACTCGAGCAACATGGAAGACCTGTTCACGGCAATGTCGCTTGAAGAGCAGCGCAAGTTCAATTTCAACGTTCGTAGCATCAACTGGAACCATTACCTGTGCTATGTTCACTTCCCTGGCTTGCGCAAGTTCGTTCTGAAGGAAAAGGCCCCTAAATAAGAGGCAGGCTAATGTGGTTCAGCAGGAGTATTTTGAGACCACGCTCTTCTCTGAAAGAGACTGCTCAGCACAGTCTAGAAGTCCCCCTGTGAAAATATATATATTACGTAATCTCTCAAACTACTAAGGTACCTACTATATTTATGGATAGTCTACCTGAACGGTTTTCCATCGTCAAACTGCCCATATTCAGAGTAAGGACGTGTTACATTTGTTCACACCGAAGGAGGATCGGGGTCACAGGGACCGGATCCGGATCCGGATAGAGGAGCAGCCAGGGGGGCAGCCGGGGGGGACCGGATCGTCCCAGGGAGAGCAGCAGCCAGGGGGGCAGCCGGGGGTGGCCGGAGCACCCCAGAGAACACAGCAGCCTGGGGGGCAGCCGGGAGTGACCGGAGCACCCGAGGGAGAGCAGCAGCCAGGGGGGCAGCCGGGGGTGACCAAAGCACCCCAGGGAGTGCTACAGCCAGGGGGGCAGCCGGGGGTGACCGGAGCACCCCAGGGAGTGTTACAGCCAGGGGGGCAGCCGGGGGTGACCGGAGCACCCCTGGGAGTGCTACAGCCAGGGGGGCAGCCGGGGGTGACCGGAGCACCCCTGGGAGTGCTACAGCCAGGGGGGCAGCCGGGGGTGACCGGAGCATCCCAGGTAGAGGAGCAGCCAGGGGGGCAGCCGGGGGTGACCGGATCGCCCCAGGGAGAGCAGCAGCCAGGGGGGCAGCCGGGGGTGGCCGGAGCACCTCAGAGAGAGCAGCAGCCACGGGGGCAGCCGGGGGTGACCGGAGCACCCCAGAGAACACAGCAGCCTGGGGGGCAGCCGGGAGTGACCGGAGCACCCGAGGGAGAGCAGCAGCCAGGGGGGCAGCCGGGGGTGACCGGAGCACCCCAGAGAGAGCAGCAGCCAGGGGGGCAGTCATTGGACGACCGGGAGCAGCAGTTGGAGGAGTGGTGCCGACTTTTGGAGTTTGATACCCCCATGGCGACTGCGGAGGAGTCAGAGGCGGACGGAGAACCTCCCATGCCGCCTTCCCCATGCCCTCGTTTTCCGTGTGACACGTGTTTTCACACGTTCGCTACGCGAGGGGCTGCTGCGAACCACATGAGGGTATGCCGGGCGGCTGAGGCGGAGAGGCGCGCGCAGGCACTTGGCTCGATCCCGTCACTGGTGGAGACCGACACGCAGGAGCGACCGACGCCGCGGGAATTGGGGGACGAGGCGTGGGCCGGGGTTACGTCATGGGAATGGGAAGCATTTTTCAGTGTGGAGGCGGTTGGAGGGAGGACAGTGCGCCGGATCCCACTGCGGGCTCGGTCGGGGGTCTTAGACGCGCTCTGTTGCGTCTTAAAGCGTTTGAAGAGCCGACCGGGGGATGAAGCTGCTACCCTCCTACTCTTGGCGTTTCCGCGCCTCATCCTAGCCGTGCCTCCCAAGCCAGGCATAGGACAGAAGGCGCTGATCATAGAGCGGTTGGGAGCGTTCTGGGAGGGGAGGTGGCGGGAGCTGTTCGACTCTGCCATGGTGGCGGCGCGGCCAGCAGTGCGCCCACTTGCCTACACTTGCTCTGACCAGGACCCGGATGCCATCCGCCTGTCACGGTGCCGATCTCGGTGTAAAGTGGGAGAGTGGAGCCGTGGATTGGCTTGCCTTACGGCAGGGGAGTTGGCCCGACCGTCTGAGGCCATGGTGCAGTCGCTGCGAGAGAAGCACCCTGCTAGCACTAGCGAGGTACCACAGTGGGTCCGTGATTTCACCGTCGATGCTCCTCAGCGGCCTCCACTCACGACCGACATCCTGGCCAGAGCTATCCATACAGCCGCTCGCGCTTCAGCAGCAGGGCCATCGGGGTGGGTCACAGAGCATCTGCGCGACACCTTCCTCACTGAACCTTCCTGCCTTTCCCACATGTTGGAGGTGTTCAACCAATGGGTGGCGGGACAGGTCCCCGAGCGGGCTCGGCCCTGGCTCGCCGCATCCAACCTAGTTGGGCTTTCCAAGCCTAACGGCGACGTCCGGCCGGTCGCGATTGGGGAGGTGCTTCCGCGTATCCTTGCCCGAGCTCTCTGCATCTCGCTCCGCCCTACGATGGCTTCCTACTTTCTGCCGTGCAACCAGCTGGGAGCGGGCACCAGGGCCGGGGTGGAGATTCTTACCCATTCTTTCCGGTCAGCGCTGGCTACTCACCCCGACTGGTGCGCGCTGCAGATAGACGTCGCGAACGCCTTCAATTCGTTTCACCGTCATGCGATGTTTGAGGGGCTGCGGGAGTCGCCATTCTCAGGGTTGATCCCATTCTTGCGTGTTTTCTACGGGACACCTAGCGACCTGTACCTCCGAGCGGGCCCTTTTGTACAGAGCCTTGAGTCGGCACGAGGATCGCGGCAGGGGGACCCGCTCGGCCCTTTTCTTTTCGCGTTCACGCAGCAGCAGGTGATGGAGTCGGTGACTAGAGAGTTCAGGGACCTACTTTTCCTGAGCTACGCAGACGATACCTATATCCTGGGACCAGCGGCTAGGATTCTAGAGGCGTTTGGGGTGCTGCGGGAGCGGTTGGAATGGGTGGGGCTGGAGGTGCAGCCGCACAAGTGCCGGTTTTGGGAGCGCGAGGGCGGGGATGTGGAGCGGGCACTGCCATTGGGGATGCAGCGGGTGGAGGAGGGTCTTACTGTGGTGGGCGTGCCTATTGGGGAGGAGGATTGGGAGGTGACCCGGTTACGGGAGCGGCTTCGACAGTTGCAGGCGCCATTGCCATGGCTCCCCCTGCTCGACCACCCCCAGATGGCTTCACATCTCCTCGCCATTGCAGTTTCAGCACGGCCGATGTACCTGGCCCGGACTATGCCGCCGCGTCCGGAGGTGGTGGAGGCCTTCAAGAATTGGGATAGCTGTCTGGAGGATTGCTTTGAGCAGCTTTTCCCACCTGGCACTTGGGAGCAGGACCCCGACCGGTCTAGGCGCGCACGCATGCAGCTGCATCTCCCTGTGCGACTCGGAGGGTTTGGGATCCGGGCGGAAGCCTCTTTGAGTCCGCTGTCCTATGTTTGTGGGTGGGCCCAAGCCGCGCGTGATATTGCACAGTTGGGGGTGGCGGGCGAGGAGGCGATGTTTGCGGAGTACCTCACCACTTCGGCAGGGGCGGAGTTTCTTGACCCGTGGTTTGCCAAGGCTCTTGTGCAGCTGCCTGCGACTATACGCCAGGAGATGCCGGGCTTACCTCTGTGCGTAGCGGCCCCTCCTCTTCGGCTTTTCCAGGTGCGGCAGCGGCTGTTGGCGGTAGAAGAGCTCCAGGCACTGCGCCGCTCGGCTCGTGACGATGCCACCCTGGCCCGTTTCACATCCCTTCAGGGCCCGGGGGCTGGTGCATGGGTTTCGGCGGTTCCGGCTCACTCAGATTTCACATTCACTGCGGCGGAGTGGGGCATTGCTGCTGCTATACGGCTCGGGCTCCCAATTCAGCAGCTGCAGGTGGCGGGGAGGTGTGTTTGTGGTACAGCGTATGTTGACCCAGCAGACCCGCATCATGCCCTGAGATGCAAGCACCAGCACGGTCCATCTCGGGTGCATGATGAGGTGAAGTTTGCGGTGGCGAAGATTTCTAAGGCGTCAGGGGGGGTGGTGGCGATGGAGGATAGTGTGGTGCTGCCGGGGAAGCGGGTTGACGTAGCGGTGCGACGACCAATGGCCGGGGAGGCTCATGCTCTAGAGATCAGCGTCGCGGACCTGCTGTCGCTGTCTCCATCTCTGCTAGGGCAGTGCGGGCGTTCTATAGGTGTGGCGGCAAGGGAGTGGGAGCGTCGCAAAACGAGTGATTACGCGTCTCTGCTTGCATGCAACCGGGGCGTGCAGTTCACCCCTTTGATAGTAGAGACGTGGGGGTGTCTCGGCGGTCGTTTCCGGCGGTGGCTTCGTCAGCAGGGGGACGCGCACGTAGGGCTAGCTGTGTCACGGGGGGCTTGCCGGGAGGATGACACTTCGTTTTCGGCTTATCTTTTGGGGTCTCTGAAGGCGCTCATCGGGGTGGCGTTACAACGGGCGCAAGCTCGTGTCATCCTGCTTCGGGCGGCGTCTTCCATGGGGGGGATGAATGTGGATTTGGTGGACCAGGAGAGGGACGGCGTCGAGGTGGAGGGCGGGGCTCTTTGGGTGGAGGCCCCGTACATGGTGGATGCACAGATTTGATTGAGGTTGGGTGAAATGGGGAGCGGGATGGGGTATCTTGATGGGGCGCCTTGACTGGGCGTTTTGATTGGGTATCTTGATGAGGTTTTTATGTGTGTTGCATTTGGGTTTTATTTTTTGGAGTGTATGTGAGTGCATCACATATGTTGGTGTTAAAAAAAAAAAAAAAACTAAAACTCGGGAGGGTGCGTGTGATAGTGATGTGTTACTCGCCATATGCGGTGCAGTAAGAGTTTTTCCCACCAGAGGTTATTTGTCATATTACACTTGATGCCCGTTTCACTCTTTCCTTTTGAATGCTCTGATCCTCAGAAAATGTGGGCATCGATCTTCCCCGAGCCACATGTGTCCTGATCGTCCTTAGGAACCTTATTAGGCAGGGTAGAAACGTTGTTGAAAGTTCTCAACGCAATAAGCTTGATTTGAGTGTGCTAAAGGATCTATATTAAAAGACCTATTGCCCTATGTGACTTCTCTGAGTGTTCGCCAAGATTAACGAAGCAGTGAAAAAAGACATCACGAATTACTGTACACCCCAGAATCCCCAACAGGATAGATGTCTCAAACGTGGCCCGTCCTAAAAACCTGTGTTCACGGCCTGAGAAGTCCCTTTTTCTTCCTGCAGCCACACAACAACAGCCGGTTTTTTTTTTAGCAGACCGTGGATCGCCCGGGAGAAACCACTGTTGAAAACACTGGAACAATGGTCGTTGTGGGGCATAATTGCGTGAATGTCGCCGGCAAGGCGCCGGCAACAATAATAACTACGCCGGCGCAGCATTTCCACTTGCATTTTGTCGATACCCTGCCTAGGTTCGATCGGAACCTAGGCAGGAGACTCGAGCGATTTCAGTTAGTTGCCTGTCGAACAGGGCCTGCGTTTCTGTGACTACCCCAACCTTGCCCTCTCTCCCCGCTGAAAGGCCCTGCCACGCGCGCCCGCCGGCCGACTGACTCGTTGCTGTAAGGATCCGCGTGACCAGCCCCCCTTTCCCGCGTTAGCTGTCTTTAGATAGAATAGCCCGCATTGGCTTGGCATGTCCCGACACGCCCCATCGCCCGCGATTCACGCTGGTACGCCGTCGCGCGTTGCTGTGGGGATGGCCGGGCTGACACGGCTACAGCCCCCCCGTGACTTGCGGCTGCAGCGTGGATCGCGAGGTCTGCGCTCCGCGAGATATGCGGAGCTTGCCACGTCGTTCTTGCCACGTCAGCTCGCTACACCACTTAGGTGCGTGGATTCCGGCCACAGCCCTCTGTGCGTTCCCAACACTTTAGCGATATTCTTGCGCCACGTCATCTCCACGTCATCCCACCATGCCTGCGCCATGTTTCCGCGTGGTCTCCGCCAGGCGCCTCCCTGTCCCCCTACAGCGCGCGCATTCGTCGCCTTCCGGGGAGCGTTCCGCCGCACGCGCGTGCAAACGGGCGGCATGGAGCGTCAGCAGGCAGGCGGACAGACGGATGAGCGTCGCATGCCGTGCAGCAGAGAGCGGTGACGTGGCGCCTGCTGATTGGGTGAACACGGCAGGGACGCACAAGCGGCCCCAGCAGGTGTTCTACTCCAAAAAGGTGCGCCACGGGCCCTCAAATAGGGTTTAAAAAGGACGTGGGTGGGGGGCGAAGGGAGGAGGTGGGATGGTGAGGGCGGAGCAGTGAGGCGAGGTGAAGAAGATGCGCGGAATGAAGGGCGGCTGTTGAGTGGATTCAGAAGTCTCAACTGGTTCGAGTGGAGACAGGGAGTGCAATCGAGTTTTAAGACGTCTCAAAGCTTTTGAGTGGACTTACAAGTCTCAGACGGTTCGTGTGGAGGCGGGGAGTGCAATTCCGCACCTGTCCTTATGCGCATCCCACGCACATGGGTGCACTGGTTTCTGCCAATGGCCAGTCGTGACGTGCATGCACTACTGCACGCCTCCCCTCTCGCGCTGAACACTACACAGCGTTCTGTTGCCGCGTGCCATGCCATCCATTGCCTTGTTGTGCCGTGTGACGTGACGGTGCGTGCTAGCATGGCGTAACGTGGTGTGGGCATGGCACGGCATGGTTTGGCGTGTCATGGCGTGGCGTGGGCATGGCACGGCATGGTTTGGCATGACGTTACATGGGCATGACATGACTTGCAGGGCGAGAAGTTTCTGTTACAAACGGGCGAGAGGATGGAGCTGATGGAGTTACCCGAGGGTACAAGAGTGGTGTACCCTGGGCTGTGCAAGGATGGCGAATCCAACCCCAACAAGGCCAGTGCCACGCCACGCCTCACACATTGCACTCCCTCCCTCTCGTGCACCCACACACACACAACATGCATCGTGCAATGCTTCCTCGCAATTTGTTTCTGATCCACTTGTCCTGCTCCTGCGCTCTGCTCTGCTGCCCTTCTATCCACCTGCCACGCCTCACATCCGCTCTAACCTCTTCCTGCCGCATGCCTGCCACCTTCCCAACCGCCCCTGCTTCGCCCCTCGCCATCTCTTCTCTTTTGCTGGCCTTCCAACTCTGCCCCCCTCCTGTCCCGTTTCGTTCTCCCTGTCACGCGCGCACACGTGCAGATGCGAGCCATGATACGCTACGCTCTGGACAACCCTGTGGGGCAGCCGCCGCTAAAGGAAAGACTCCAGCAGATCAAGCAGGCCAATTCCAACCCCAAGGTGCGCTGCTGCTGCAACCCGTTTTCTCAATTGTCCTCTTTTCCAGCTGCCTTTTCTTGCTGACAGGACAGCACCGTTCTTCTGTCCACTCCCAATCGCACTCCCTAACCTCTCCATCTCCAATGTCTCCCTGCACTAGGCGCTCATGTCATGTCACCCATGCACAACACCCCACATCCCCATCCCAACCATCCCCCACCTCCTCCACCGTCCCTCCCCTCTCTCCCGGACTCATCCTCCCCTCAACCTCCCCACACCCCCACCCTCCCCCCCTCACCCTGGGGCTCTAAAAAATACACTCATTTCACGTGGCTCATCCTTCCCTCAACCTCCCCATCCCCCCCCTCCCCCCCTCTCACCCGGGGGCAGATCCTGATGGCCTTTGATGATGTGAGCGTGCCGCTGCCGCCCATGCGCCGCCCGGACCTACGGCAGCTGATCATGGAGGAAGCGGAGAGCGACTGCGTGGCAGCGGGCATCACAGACATCCGTTTCGTGTGCTCCATCGCTCTGCACCGCTACATCCGCCCGGACGAGTTCCGGCACATCTGCGGGGGGTACCTGTATGGAAAGTACTACCCGCAGCGCATGGGGAATTACAATGCTGTCGACATGGACGAGACTGTGGATATCGGTGTCACACGGCACGGGGAGGCTGTTCAGGTGAGGGGACTTTTGAGACGTCTCAAAAGAGGAATTACAATGCTGTGGATATGAACGAGACTGTGGACATGGAAGAGACTGTGGACATGGAAGAGACTGTGGACATGGAAGAGACTGTGGACATGGAAGAGACTGTGGACATGGAAGAGACGGTGGACATGGAAGAGACTGTGGACATGGAAGAGACTGTGGATATGGAAGAGACTGTGGACATGGAAGAGACTGTGGACATGGAAGAGACTGTGGACATGGAAGAGACTGTGGATATGGAAGAGACTGTGGACATGGAAGAGACTGTGGACATGGAAGAGACTGTGGACATGGAAGAGACTGTGGACATGGAAGAGACGGTGGACATGGAAGAGACTGTGGACATGGAAGAGACTGTGGATATGGAAGAGACTGTGGACATGGAAGAGACTGTGGACATGGAAGAGACTGTGGACATGGAAGAGACTGTGGACATGGAAGAGACTGTGGACATGGAAGAGACTGTGGACATGGAAGAGACTGTGGACATGGAAGAGACTGTGGACATGGAAGAGACTGTGGATATCGGTGTGACACGACACGGGGAGGCTGTTCAGGTGAGGGGAGAGGGGGGGAGCGGAGAGGGAAGGGGTGGTGTGCGGGAGGTGGGAGAGCGGAGGGATGGTGTCAAGGGTGAGTGGTGTGGGCTGCAGCTTGCATTTCCATGGCCACAGCAGTTCATGCGGCGTTCTCGTCAGTACTTGTTATCCATCCGCTGCTGTTGTCGCACTCTTCTCTTCGTTCCCACCACTGTGCTGTGCTGTGCTGTGGTGTGCTGTGCTGTGCTGTGCTGTGCTGTGCTGTGCTGTGGTGTGCTGTGCTGTGCTGTGGTGTGCTGTGCTGTGCTGTGGTGTGCTGTGCTGTGCTGTGGTGTGCTGTGCTGTGGTGTGGCATGGCACGGCGGCACGGCATGGCGTGTCAGGGCAGATCAACCGGCACTTTGCGGAGGCGGATCTGGTGGTGTATGCGAATGTGAACTACGTGAGCATGGACGGCGGGTACAAGTCCTACGCCACTGGCCTCGTAAGCTCTTGTTGCGCCCACACCTGGGCTGGCTGACTTGCGCTGAAAGCTGGGCGGGTGGGTTGGGCTGCTGAGTTGGCCGCATGGAGAGATGGGCCGAGTGGGAGGTGGAGGGGTAGGGGGATGGAGAGAGGGAGGGCGGTGAAGGGTATGTTCGGAGTGTCCTGGGTTGGTTTGCGGGTGCGTTTTGAAAGAGCCGCTTTTGTGCACTGGCACGGTTCATTAAGTTTCTGCTCTGTCACTTGTGTGTGTGTGGATATGTGGTTACCTGATTTGTTTCTGTGTGTGCGTGCGTGCGTGCGCATTCGTGTGCGTGTGCATGCATGTGTGCATTCAAACGTGCACATGTGTATGCGTGCATGCAGGTGCATTACAACTGTCTGCGCCACAACCATGACTCCAAGACACTACGCAACACCAGGCGTGCCTTGACCTGAGCGGGGGGGGGGCAACACCTGTGAACTGCAGAACGTACCTTGAACCCGAAAGATCAGCAAAACTGCTACAAATCAACCCTTAACATATCCCATGCCGTGTGGCTCTAGTCAGGCATTCCCAGCCATGGGCCGCAGCTTGCATGCTGCTGAGCCCTCACCTCACCTGTGCTGTTTGCGATTCCTGTTCTGTGTGTGCGCGGCGCGTGCATGGATGGATGGCAGGTCGCTGTTTGACCCGACGCGCAGTGCGCTGCACAAGTCGTTCCACCGCATCGGGCGCATGATGCAGAAGCACACCGACGTCTTCCATGTGGAGACTGTCGTTGACGACCAGGTCTGCCATCCCATGCCGCATGCCTGCATGCATGCCCACTTGCTTCCATTCCCACATCCCCAAATGCCCCCATGCCCACATGCCTGCATGCCTGCATGCCTGCATGAGCACCTGGGTGATCATGCCTACCTGCCCGTCCGCCTCCCTGCACCATGCTCCAGCTTCCCTGCATCCTCCTCTCCTGCGTGGCCGCCTGCCCTTCCACATCTGCTCTCCATCCTGCCTCTCAACCACGCGACTGCGTCAAATGTTTACTCACCCCTCTCCCTCCCCCCGGTGCAGCTGTTCCCGTTCTACACGAACTTTGTGTCGGAGCTAGTGCGCAACATGAGTCGGTTTTTTTGTAGACAAACCCCCGCTCCCCATTCCCCCACCCCCCACCGGCCCCTTGTCCCCTCCCCTTGCCGCAGCTGTTCCCATTCTACACGAGATTTGTGTCGGAGCTAGTGCGCAACATGAGTCCGCTGCAGAAGCTCTTCATGCACTCCACCATTCTGCTGCTCAAGGTGGGCCAGGGGGGTGGGGGAGAGCGAGGATGTGCGACCAGGGGCGAGCAGGTGAGCAAGGTACGAAAGGGGAGGAAGGTGAGCAAGGTACGAAAGGGGAGGAAGGTGAGCAAGAGGTGAGGCTTGAGCAAACGGAGAGCCAGCACACCTTTCCTCAGCCTGAATTTCCTTGTCTCTTCTCTTGTGTGCTTTTTTCCTCACCTCCTCCTTTCCTCGCCCCTCCCCTGTCTCTCTCCCTCTCTCCCTCCCCCGGCATGCACCAGCTGCTGCCGCTGTGGCTGTGCGTCAAGGTTTTCTGGTTCATGCGAGCCCCGTTCGGCCTGCTGCAGGTACGGCAGGGCGGGGGAGGGGAGGGGAGGGGAAGGGGAAGGGGAAGGGGAGGAGGGGGGTAAGCACATTCTCTCCTTGTCTTACAGCCTGGCATTCCAGTGTGGCAAACGCTGAGTTGTTTTGCTGGCGAGAAGCAGCGCTGGCGGTGGAGCTAATGTTTTGAGTCGACTCAAAACAAGGCTCCTTGTCTTACAACTTGGCATCCCAGTGTGCAATTCGCTGAATTGTTTTGCTGGCTGGCGAGAAGCAGCGCTGGCGGTGTCGCAATGCTGATTCGTGCGGTGCGGTGTGGTGCGGTGTGGTGTGGTGGTGCAGGTGACAGCAGGGGAGACCCAGGCGGTGCATGAGAGGACACTGGCTACCATCTACCGGGACAAGGTCATGGACGTGCAAGGGCAGGTGAGTTGAGTCGACTCAAAAGATGTGCAAGGGCAGATGAGTTGAGAGCAGAGAAGGGGATGCCAAGAGATGGAAGCATGAGAGCCGTGTGCTGTGTTGAGCGATTCTTTTAGAGAGGGCTAGATTGACATTGACTATAAGCAGCATGTCAAGCCTTATGGTGCTTCTGAAACTCTATTCCATTCATCGTATCCTAGACTTGGTCTGCCTTGCCCTTGTCCTTCTCTTCCCATTACCATAGACACCCTCCGCGTTCCATGCATTGCTCTCCCCACCGCGTGCCCGGCTGCCCTGCTGCTGCCAGGCAGACATCCTCATTCTGGCGCCCAGTGCATTGGGGCCCTACACCAAAGACATGTACCTCAACCCCCTCCTCGTGCGTACACCCTTGCTTCGCTGCACCGCACCTCACCACGTCGCACCGCAACGCACTCCCTCTCCACTCAAGCGCCCTGTGCTGCTCGGATACGCTCTCTTCAGTGCTGCTAGCCCTTGTACGAAGCTTGATCAAGGTGCTGTGGATGCATGGGCAACTGCACAGGCGCATGCCCGTGTGTGTTCACGCAACCCATTGACCCCTTGTTTTCCTTGCCATGTCTTGCTATGCCTGTGCATGGCGTTTGCTGCACCCATCATCCGTCCCCATCCATCCATGCTCTTCTCAGCCGTTCCGCACTCTAACCGCCCCGCGTGCCCCATGGTTGTATGACACATGCAGGTGAACACATACGCACTGGGTTACTATTACAACATGTGAGTCGCAGAGTCGCACCACTGTGCACACTCATCATACCTCACGGGAGTACATGCTGTGCCCAATGTCTCCGCACGGGTATGTTGTTTCATGCCATTGCATGCCAACTTATGGCTGCCTGTTTTACAAATATTCCCTCCACTTCTTTTCCACCTTACGTACCCCACTACTGCTCCCTCCCTCCCGCCCCGTGCAAACCCCCCCAATCTCCCACCCCTCCCTCTCCCCCTCCTCCCCCCCCCAGGTATGTGGATGGCGTGCCTCTACTCAAGGAGGGCGGCTGTGTGGTGAGTCCGGGTGAACACAAGTTAGGTGCCATGGATCTTTTAGGTTACCAGTTACGTGGCAGCAACGTTTAGGTTACCAGTTGGCAGCAACGTTTAGGTTACCAGTTGGCAGCAACGTTTAGGTTACCAGTTGGCAGCAACGTTTAGGTTACCAGTTGGCAGCAACGTTTAGGTTACCAGTTACGTGGCAGCAACGTTTAGGTTCAACAGTCCCCCACCCCAGGTATGTGGATGGCGTGCCTCTACTCAAGGAGGGCGGCTGTGTGGTGAGAGACCGTTCCATGAAATCACATGCCATCCTACGCTACGTCATGCCATGATGCCATGGCACGCCACGCGTCATGCCATGATGCCATGACACGCCACGCGTCATGCCATGATGCCATGACACGCCATGCGTCATGCCGTACCATACCATGTGATGCCATGCCATCCATTCGATTGGATGAGCGCACACACAGCACTCACACTGTGCCCATGCTCACTTCACTACACCCGCCTGTGACACCTCTCCTCTCCAGACATCCGTCCTGTCCCTGCATTCATCCACTCCACTCCACTCCGCTCGACTCCACTCCACTCCACTCCACTCCACTCCACTCCACTCCACTCCACTCCACTCCACTCCACTCCGCTCCGCCCCACCACCGGCCACACCACAGATAATGGTGAACGAGATGAACTACGAGTGGTCATCGCCCGCACACGACGCGTACCGGCGGCTCTTTGAGGAGGTGCTGGCAGTGGCGCCAGAACTAGACGAGTTTGAGCGCCACCAGCAGCAGTTCGTGCAGGACGAGCAGCTCAATGACATCTACCGCCAGGGCCTGGGGCCTGCTGCCGTGCATGGCTTCTACATGTACACGTGGGCCGCTCATGGCATGGATCAGGTGCGTGCAGTGGGTGTCTGGCGTGGGGTATGTATGGGGTACGGGGCATGGGGCGTATGGTTTGAAACATGCCCTGCTGCTGTGGCGTTTGGTTCTTGTGGCCGGGGTCTACATGTACACGTGGGCCGCTCATGGCATGGATAAGGTGTGTGCTGTGGGGGGTGTGGGCCACGTGGGTGATGGGGTGCTGGGCATGTGACCATACAGTAGGATGTTCGGTGGCCTTGTTGGCAGCGCTTCTGCTTATGCTCATGCTGTCATAGCCTCTCTCCTTCTCGCACCTTTGCGGCCCCTCTGTTTCCCCCATTCTCCCCTGCTCCCACTCCGCCTTCCCCCCTGCGCCCGGGCAGGTGGGCAAGGTGTATGTGGTGGGTGCTGTGGACCCGCGGGGGCCGGCGGTGCTGCGGTGGGAGATGGCAGACAGCATACAGGACGCTGTTGACCAGGTGATTACCAACTGGCACAAAAGGTTGACTTTTGAGTCAACTCAAAAGTCAACGTTGTGGGAGATGGCGGACAGCATACAGGATGCTGTGGACCAGGTGATTACCAACTCGTTTTGGTGAACTCCAAGCGAGAATAGCCCTGCGTGTAGAGAAGGTTGACTTTTGAGTCGACTCAAAAGTCAACGTGGTGGGAGATGGCAGACAGACAGCATACAGGATGCTGTGGAACAGGTGACGGCACGTGCCCATGCACCTGCCCATGCTCCTGCGCGTGCACATACATACCCATACCCCTGCCCATGCCCATGCCTTTGCAATGTCCATCTTTGCCTTGCACGGTGTCATACAAGCCTGTCATGCCAAGCCTCACACGGCTTTGCAATGTCCATCCTTGCCTCACACATCATTGCCTGTCTCAACTCCCCGGTCCTTCCTCCCTCCATGCCTCTGTCCCGTTCACTCTCCCCCCAGGCGCGCTTGTTCCTGGGCAACAGCAAGGCGGAGGTGACGTATCTGAGGTGCCCGCTGGTGGGGTATGTGCGCGTGCACACGGAGGGGCAGGGGGAGGGCAGTGCTGCCGAGCAGGTGCAAGGGGAGGCAGCGCAGGCAGTGGGCAAACACCAGTGATGCTGCTGTGTGGAATCTGCCCCACACTGTTGTGTCACACTGTCACACTGTCACACTGTCACACTAGCACGCTGTCACACTGTCACACTGTCACACTGCCCATCAGCCTCCCTGCAAGAGACTCGGCTGCTGCACATGCAGTGCGGTTGCACATGCAGTACGGTTCGGTGTGGTGCGATACGATTTCCATGCTAGTTGTGTGAAGCATTTCACAAGAGCTTAACTGTGGTCCTGGAGTATGAAGGGTGCCATGTAGAAAGCGTTATATGCCGGGTATGTGTGTTCAGCGAAAGCTTATGACCTGGAATAGCGTGGGCACCATGATACATTGTCAAGCAGGCAGTCTGAGGGTATGCGGTAACAGCAGTCTGGCAGGGTGCATGTGGACAAAATGCCAGTCTACAATCATACGGTAGCACTTGGTATTCAGAGCCACTTTCCTCTCGTACGCGCATTTTTCCGCAACCAGCACTCGCAAACGTTTGTTTTTGTTTTTTCACTGGCATTAACGCCCCTCAGCGTACTAGGAGCTGTTCCCCTCGTGCTCTCTCGCAAGCACGTGCAGTCACGCCCGTGCCTGGCACCTCTCCTGCCTCTTTCTCCCCTCCAATCCTCATACGGTAGTTCCATCTGCTTTGGGTCAGCACCTTGTGTACCTCTGCCTCTGCACTGCAGTTCACTTTGTCAAATGTTAATGTTATGATAGGCTGCAGTGAGGTACTCCCTAGAGAGTATAGCTTTTGTAGGATTCCTATTTGTACCCTTGCAAACCCTAATTCCAATCATTCCGTTGAGCTCCATTCTTGAGATGGTATCATGAGTAGGTCGTTCCTAGCCTAGACCTCCGTGCGACTAGCGCCCTCCGCGCCCTCCGCGCCCTCCGTCGCTCCTAGCCCTCCGTGCACCTAGCGCCCTCCGTGCGTCTCGCACCCTCCGTGCGCCTAGCGCCCTCCGTGCGCCTAGCGCCCTCCGTGCGCCCTAGCCCGTCGCCTCGGCCCCGCGCCCTAGCCCGCGCCCTCGCCGTCGCGTCGACCTCGCGCCCTAGGAACGCCGCCCGCACCCTAGCCCGCGGCCCGCCTACGCGCACCTCCGCGCACCCGCGCATCCTAGCTCGCGCCCCTTAGTGCGGCCCGCAATCTCGCCCGCGGCCCACCCACGCGCCTCTCCGCGCCCCCCTCCGCGCGTCCCCCCACGCCCTTCACCGTCGCACCCTCCTCCCGCTCGCTCCCACCGTCGCATTTGTCCTCCCCGCCCATTTCCCACCGTCAGATCCTCCTCCCGCCCATTCTCACCGTCGCATTCGGCCTCCCCGCCTCTCTCTCACTGTTCATCACCTTAGCCCCACCACCGCCTTGTGCGCGGGGCCATCCCCAGCTCTGCTGACACTGGTCTCTCCCTCAGCGGCTGGCAGCCGCTCTCTCTCGCCGGTCGCCTAGGTTAGAGCCGTTTTAGCCGCTCATACCTCGCTCCTCGCACCTGTAGCTGGCGATCCAAGATTTCACGCCTAGTCTAGGTCGCTCGGTCCTTCTAGTCTCTCGCTCCGCCGCTTTCTCTCCTGGCGCTCCATCGTTTTCCTCCTCGTTCTTAGCTCCGCCTCCGCCGTGCTCCAGCCGCCTCTAGCATGGGCTCCGCTATGGAGGCCCGTCGCCTCCGTTTCGATGCGGAGGGACGCCCGATCGAGTTCGGTACTGTGAGGATCTGGTTCAGGAAAGATGATTCTATTGAATGATTCACCTGGGTACAACACGAGGCTATATATAGCCTCGACACAAGGCCAGTTACCCAGGTGTTACGCGAATGTTCTGAGGGTCGCGAAGCGTCCCGAACAGAACCTTCCCGAACTCAGTAGAAAGCAATTCGGTGGAAACCGAATAGGCTTGAGTTCGGTACACGTAACCTGGTTCGGTGCTATAACTATAATAACATATAGGAATGCACCTAACCTAGGAAATCAAGCATATCTATGCATGATAAATAAAACTTAAGCTAGTAATAGCATAATAAAGTCCAGGCAAGCTAGCAAAGCCAGCATAAGCCGTCGTACTCTCACACGTCCCCCCCTCAAAGCTGGGTGGCGTGAGATACACCCTGCTTGACAAGATAGTCCTTGAGAGCACGTCGTGCGTTGCCCATATCAGCTTCTGCAACCCAACTGTCCTCCGATGGTTCATATCCCTTCCAGCGTATCAGGAACTCGAGCGTGTTGCCACGTCTGCGTCGATGAGCGAGCACTCGTTCCACCTCGTACTCTGGTTCATCCTGTACGAATACAGGTGGTGGTGGCGGTAACTGTCGTCCCTGGAACTGTTGGTTGGGGTCCTTGTAGGGCTTCAGTAGCTGAACATGGAAAGCATTGTGAAGCTTCCAAGTAGTAGGTAAGCGCAAGCGGAATGTTACTGGTGTCACCTGTGCCTCAACGTGAAAAGGACCACAGAAGGGAGGCCGGAGCTTGGATGGTAGGTGAGACAGGTTCAAGTTGCGCGTGTCGAGAAGCACCTGATCTCCGACTGCTACGGTGTGATCACGTCGCTGGCGATCGGCATACTGCTTCTGGGAGTTCTGCATCGTGGAAAGACGTCGCTGAGTCTTCTCCCATAGCTACTGCATGGTGGTGACGAAGTCATGTGCGGCTTGGACGTGTGCCGGTGTGGTTGGCTGTTGTGGTGTGAGTGGTTCCCGTCCGTAGCACAAGAAGAAAGGAGTTTTCCCTGTGGCCGCATGTGATGCGTTGTTGTAAGCGAACTCTAGGGTCGGTAACTGTGTGTCCCAATGGCTGACATCGTCTTTGCAAGCTGTGCGCAGTAACTGTTCAACCACCTGATTGAGTCGCTCTGTCTGTCCGTCAGTCTGGGGGTGGTATGCTGAAGACATCGCAAGCTTCGTCCCCAACAATCCCATGAGTTCCCTCCAGAACTTACTAGTGAACTTAGGGTCTCTGTCTGAGATGAGCGTGGCGGGGATGCCGTGGATGGTGATGATGCGGTTGAAGAAGAGGCGAGCAATTGCTTCAGCTGTAGCCGTGGAGTTGGTCGGGATGAAGTGTCCCATTTTAGAGAACTTGTCGATCACCACGAGTATAGCGTCATGCCCTCGTGAGGTCGAAGGTAGCCCAGTGATGAAGTCTAGGCTGACGACTTGCCATGGCTGCTCCGGTACGGGTAGGGTCTGGAGTAACCCAGCTTTTTCTGCTTGCTACTCTTCATCCGCTGGCACGTGTCGCATGAGGCGACGAACTGCTGCACGTCTGCTGCCATCCCGGGCCAGTAGTAATACTTTTCTATCCCTGCTAACGTCTTGTTGCTCCCGAAATGTCCCGCGTACTGTACGTCGTGAAACTCCTCCAGCAGAATCTGGTTCCTCCACGATCTCGTGCTCGTGGGTGCGTGCTGGAGGTACTCCCGCAGGTAGGTCGTCGGGCATTATATCTTTGTACTGCTCCAAGACCTCCTTCACTGCTGCAGGTAGCTCCGAACTCGGCTTCTCCTCCTCTTCTGCTGCCATAACCAGTGCTAGGTAACCCGTGTTACTGTTGTTCACCGCCTGTTCGAAGCGTGGCAGTGTCGTTTCAGGAACTCTCCCTGTATCCGTCCAGCTCCGCAGCTCCACTCGTTTCTCGTTGTTGTAGATGTACGCCTTCCGGTTGACCCAGTCGATCTCGGGGTTGAACCGCTTCAGAAAATCACGCCCCAAGATGAAATCTTATCCCTTGATGTTCGTGATCGGCAACGTCGGCTTCCACCTTAACGCTCCTATCTGCAGCTGCAGTGTTGACTCGCCGTGGATGGTAAGCTTCGTACCGTCCACCATCGTTGCTGTAAACTGGGTCTCTTCTGAGGATTCTCCAATTTTCTCCAACGTCCCGGGTCGCACACCGAGTAGGACGCACCACTGTCCACCAGGGCCGGGAGGCGACGCCTGTTGCAGATCACCTCGAGTACTAGTGGTTGCTGCTGCTCCGAGTAGCCGTAGATGGTATCGCTTATAGGATCGTAGGGTACGTCGAATATGTCATCCCTAGGTCCTGCGCTCGAAGATGCAGCTTCAATATCAGGTATCACCTGAGTACGGTTAGAAGGATTTATCCGAGGCTGGTACAGCTTCTCCAGAGCCTGGAACCTTCCCCTAAGCCTTTGCAGCTGTATAGGCTTCATCTGTGGGGAACAGGGAGCCTTTAAACAGTGCTGCTGGGAGAGAATATTAACTCCTCGGAACGCTCGACCCGTATTAGCGCTCTGGAGTAGGGTCCCCATATTACCCGGTACCGGTTTAATTTATGACTCTCCCTTAATAAAGGCTTGAAACCCACGAGAAGTAATATTCTTACTTGTCGGGGTGTACGGCTGGAGTTTCCCGGTCGGTGCAGGGTCTTGTTTCGCGGATCCTCCTTTAGTCTCAGCGATTTCCCCTGGTGCCGGCTGGTCGTGACGTTTTAAATTCGCGCCACCATATTCTCCTTTTTTCGCCCTCTCCGAAGTTGCCACGTTGTCCGTTTTCTGCTTCAGGGGTGCCACACTGTTCTTGTCCCTCAGCTCCGCACGCCTTCTCTTCATTTTCCAACACGCCAAGATACGATGTCCTGTAGCGCCGCAAAATTTGCACGTCTCATTTTTTGCTAGCCGCTGCTCCACATCGCCCTTGTCGTTCTCCATCGGGTCGGCAGTCGTGGGTGGTGCCAATCGCCCCATGCCACTATTTGGCTTGTTGCGTCGTGTTCCGTAGTAGCTACTGTTCAACGCGTCGAACTGTTCGATCAGTGCTGCACGAAACTGCGCCCACGTCCCCTCGCCTTGGACTATTCTGTTGTTGATCCACTCTAGAGCTGGGCCTTGTAACAGTGTTGCTGCGAGCCGTATGCGCATTGCGTCTTTTGTCGGGGTCGTACATCCAACGGCTTCGAAGTAAATTTCGAGTTCAGCTACAAATCGACGAACGTCGTTCCCTTTAACTATAGGATCGAACGCCTCCGGTAGCCTCAGCTTTACTGCTTCGAGGTTAACTGT